AAAAAAAAAAAAAAAAAAAAGGAAAAGGAGAAAAAAAAAAAAGAGGAAAAAAAAAAGGCCAAAAAAAATAGACAAAAGGACCTGTGGATGCAGAATTAAAATCTCAGCGTTGGGTTTGGAGAGATGCGCCGCGCTGCTTCCCTCCGTATAAACAGGGATGGCAACTTTATGGTCTATTAAATTTGGAATTTACCTTTTTTTTTTTTTCCCCTCAGAATCAGTTTAAAATTGCATTTTAAACATTTGTGTCTTTATTTGCCTTGTTTTCAAAAGCAAGCAGTGGGTCAGATTTGTTATGTTGCTTTTTGTGCCCGAAGCAGGAGGAGCTTTAATCACTTTAACTACATTTAGTCATGGCAGCTTGGAATATTTTTAAAGAACAATTTGAAGAAAATAATTACATATTAGAGAAACCATGTGGGGCTGCGTTACTGTAAAGAAAGACAGTGGGCTTTTTTCTTTATGGACTTAAAAAGAAAATCAGCAAATTTTTTCCTTTCTCCCCACGCACTAGATTTCTGCAGAAAATAGACATTTTCAGTAGTGAGGGGTTATTTTCACAGAGCAGTGACCTGACAATCCCCCCCACTCCAGGCTGTAAATCTTTATATTTTATCAGCCCAAAGCCTGCATGTGAGAGGGCACCTGTGACACCTGGTGATGGCCCTGCCCAGATCTTGTCCCCTGGGCATGTGCTGCCAGAAAATCAAAAAAAATGCCCCCGGGGCATGTTCTGCCAGAAAATCTTGCAAAAAAAAAAACCAAACCAACCAAATTCCTGCTCTACTGACCCCAAAGTTCGGGGGTTTTGGGTGGATTTTCACCTCTTGGAGAAGCACAAAGCGCAGAATGAGGGGTGGCTTCTCTGTGCTCCCACCGTAGCCAAGCTTTTGTGTTTTTTTATTTATTTAGTATTTTAAATTAATAGTAAAGAAAGAGGGCTGGGAGGCTGATGGGTTTAAAGCAGAAAATGAAGTCGGGGGGCATTGTGCAAGAACAGGAGGGGTTTGCCTCAAGGTGGAAATTCGTGGGAGAGGAGAATTTGCAGCAGCAGGAGCGCGGTGGGGGGAGGGACCTGGAGCTGGTGGTTTTGTCCCCAAATTGGGGGCAAACGGGGCCGGTGGGACTCGCTGGGGGCGTCTGGCGGCACAATGAGAGTCCGTCCCGGCCCCCCCTGACCCCTTTGCTCCGCAGTGGAGCAGGACCGGGACATCTTCTCGCCGAAGCCATACTGGAAGGAGTTCAGGTTCGACCTGACCCAGGTGCCCACGGGCGAGTCGGTGACGGCCGCCGAGTTTCGCATCTACAAGGCACGGGGGGTCGGCCGGCACGTCAACAACACCCTCCACGTCAGCATCTACGAGATCGCCACCGAGCACGCCAACAGGTGACAGGGATGGGGACGGGGCTGGGGGTGAGGGTGGACACAGGGATGAGGATGAAGATGGAGACAGGGATGGGAGTGAGGATGAAGATGGAGACAGGGATGGGGATGAGGATGGAGACAGGGGTGGGGGGGGGGATGGAGATAGGGATGGAGACAGGGATGGAGACGAGGATGGAGACAAGGATGGGGTTGAGGATGGAGACAGGGATGGGGGTGAGGATGGAGACAAGGATGAAGATGAGGATGGAGACAAGGATGAAGATGAAGATGTAGACAAGGATGGGGATGAGGATGGAGACAGGGATGGGAGTGAGGATGAAGTTGAAGATGGAGACAGGGATGGGGATGAGGATGGAGATGAGGATGGGGATGAGGATGGAGTCAGGGATGGGAGTGAGGATGAAGATGAAGATGGATAGGAATGGGGATGAGGATGGAGACAAGGATGAGGGTGAGCATGGATGAGGATGGAGACAAGGATGGGGATGAGGATGGAGACAGGGATGGGGATGAAGATGGGCATGGAGATGAAGATATGATGGGGCTGGAAATATGGATGGGGATACGGATGAGGATGGAGTCAAGGTGGGGATGAGGATGGGAATGGGGGTGGAGGTGGGGATGGAGACAGGGATGGGCTCCCCCAAGCACCAGCCCCAGCTCTCAGCAAACGCTGAGGGAAGCAGCATCGCCGCTGCCGGCTGTTCCCACACTTTCCCACCGGGCGATGCCACACCCCGGCTTTTCGGCCGGGGCTGGGAGGATACTTTTCCCAGGGCAGCTGCCAAGGTGCCACCATCATGTCCAGCACAGCCGGAGGCACCGGGAGCCGCCGTCCCAACTCAGCCGTGCTGGGACCTGCATGGACACGTGCACCGAGGAGTCATTTCCATGAATTATTGCTGGTGCTGGTGCCCTTTGGGTACTGTTACTCACCTGCTCGGGTTTTGGGTTTGTGTTTTTTTCTTCCCCATTTCCACAGGGAGTCTGACCTGTTCTTGCTGGATGTCCAGGACCTGCGTGCTGGGACCGAGGGCTGGCTGGTGTTTGACGTCACGGCCGCCAGTAACCACTGGTTAGTGGATCGGAAATACAACCTGGGGCTGCGACTCTACGTGGAGACGGATGATGGTGAGCCTGCCTTAACCTACCTGCAGCTTTTGGGGCCAAATCCCCAGAAACTGGAGCCCTCTTGGTGCCTCTTGGTGCCACAATGGGGGGGGTGCTGGTTGTCTTGCTGCAGTTCTAAATTTCCAGCTGTGATGGGAACTGTGGGTGCCAGAAGTTGCCTGGATTTGCAGGCAAGAAGCCTCCCAAAGGCATTAATGCTAATGGGGTTCCTGGTGTGGGCTGTAATAACCCCATTAGCACTTAATGAACTCCTTACCTGGAGGGATCCTCAGCCTGTTTGCACCAAAAGATTAACCCTTTTCTCACCGTGGGGTCAAAGCTACTCCGAAGGTGCCTTTCACAGGTTCATGAGTGATGCTGAGGGGCACAAAGAGCAGCTCCACTGCCGATGGGGGGAAGAAATCACAGCTGTGACTGTCCCAGCCATCCCCTTCCCTCCCACAGATCTCCCTGGACACGACGCGGAAAATCATGGAGATCGCTTGGATCTCACTTGATTTTTGTCCCTAAATACGTGGCCATCGTGCCGTGGTGGCCGCGTGGGATGAGGCCATGCTGCCCCTGCGAGCTGCAGGTTTGATAGGACAAGGTGTAATGGTTTCAGACTAAAAGAGGGGAAGCTTAGACTAGATAAAAGGAAGAAATGTTTTACAGTGAAGGTGACGAAACACCAAGCCAGTGGAAACATTCAAGGTCAGGCTGGATGGAGCTCTGAGCAACCCAAGCTAGCTGAAGCCATCCCTGCCCACTGCAGGGCGTTGACACTAGATGACCTTCAAAAGTCCCTTCCGTCCCAAACTATGCTACGATTTTATGCATTTATTACATATTTTCCCTCCTTCCTTTAACCGAATGAGTCCGTTCCGCCAGCAAACCCACGCGCGGTCCCGTCCCTGCAGGGCACAGTGTGGACCCAGGCTCGGCGGGGCTGCTGGGGCGCCGGGGACCCCGCTCCAAGCAGCCCTTCATGGTGACCTTTTTCCGGGCGAGCCCCGGCCCCGCGCGTGTGGCGCGAGCGGCCAAACCCCCGAGGAGGCGGCAG